AATACGTGCTGGAAGGTATTAAATTCGAAAAACACGTAATAAAATATTAATAAGAAATATTAAATATTAACGTGTTTTTATATTTTATTAATTAGTCATACAGATTATGGTTCAATGACAATCCTCTTTCAAAAAGATATTGGCGGTCTAGAAATTCAACCACCTGATACTGATAAATGGTTCCCCGTTCCAGTCATTCCAAATCATGTATTAATCAATATTGGCGATTGTTTAGGTTTTTGGACAAAAGGTCTATTTAAATCTATTATGCATCGAGTTTCATTTGACAGTGAAAATTTTAGTTTAGATAGGCATAGTATTGCGTATTTCTGTATTGCTGGATCTGATATTAAATTAGATCCAATTCCTTCAAAATTTATACCTACAAACGAAAAAAATAAGGATGAAAAAATTTTAACTGCTGGCGAGCATTTGATGCGAAGAGTTAGTGCCGCATATGGCAACTATTAAGAGGGTATTTCTTTTTTTACTTACATATATTAAGTTTATTAAAATTCCTTTGATTGATGTATAAATGAGATGGCTCTGGGAATTTTTTACTCATTTGATTGAATAAATTATGGAAGCTTCTGTTTCCTTTATGGAAAATTTACTATTTCCACCGTTTTTTTCATATGACTTTCAGCACATGAACATGGCGAACATGTTACGATAAATTACGGCAAATGGTGGAAAAAATATTAAAATTTTCGTGGTGGAATTAGGCTCAGAGTCTAAAATTGGGTTACGGAGCTTGTGGACAACAAATGATTTATAAGTTCCCGTAACTAAAATCTGAAATGCATGTACTGTTTATATGCGCAACTAATTTATATCATCCGCAAGTAAAGTTTTTTATTTTGGCCCACAATTAAATTAAAATTTGAATTTTAGACATTGATTAGGCGTTCCCTAAAATTTTTGTCTTATAATGTTTAATATTACATGCTTTATTTATCATTTTACATAATTGTAAACAATATATCCCAAGTTTTATTAAATAATATGTCTGGTCTATATAGGTTTTGCACCATTGAAAATCGAAATGTAGTTTCGATTTTACCAAAAAATTTTTGAGAAGAGAAGTGAAACAGGGGAAAGGTTAGTAAAAGTAGAGAGAAACTTGTAATTAAAGTGAAGCTAGCAAAATGTGATGAGACCAATAAACTAGTGAAAATGATGATAGTTAAAAATGCTAAACGAAAAGTGGTGTTACACCCGAACTACCTCTTTATAACGGGTAGCTAAAGACAATGATAAATAAATGTTTTTTGCCGTCCTGTAATTATAAATCTGACTTGATCAAAAAATAAGTATTCGAATATTCATTCAAAAATTTTGAATGAATATTTGAATATTTACTGAATATTCATTGAATTTTGATAATTACTGTATAAAATAAAATTATTAATTCAGAACAATAATAAAATAGTATTGCAAAATTAATTGATTGCTAATTTTAAAATTGTGCTGAAAGTCTATACTAGTCAAAAAAATGGTATAACTTTAAAATGCATCAACTTATTTTATAGAAGCAATATTTTGAAGAGCTTTATTTAGCAAATTTGGAATACTTATTATGAAGAATAAAATTATCGGTCAGATTTTTAAAATTTTGCTTTTATAAAAGCTATAGCATTTTTAAGATTTATTTAAAATTGAAACATATGGGGTCTTTGCCTTGAAAATCACCTTCCGACATTTCCGATCAGGCTAATTCGGACAAACATAAACTCGAGTACCGGTTCATGTTCATATGTTAATCATCCTTTACTTTTATTGATTCAATAGTTATTCAATAAACTATCGAATCAATAAAGTTAAAAGATGATTAACATATGAACATGAACCGGTACTCGGGTTTATTTTTGTCCGATCGGAAATGTCGGAAGTGATTTTCAAGGCAAAGACCCATATAGCAATTATATATAAAACAATAATAATTTTTAAAGCATATCAGCTTTTTATACCGAAGGTTTTTCAAAAAAATATGTAGCAAATTTATAAAACTAATATTTTATAAAATCACTTGAAAATCTCTTGTATAAAAAATTAAAATATGTTAAGTATAACTTTTAGTATTATATATATAAACTAAATTTTATATTTATTTATTAATTTATTTATTTATTTTAATATTATTAATCAAGATAACTATAGCTAATAATAAATATAGCAAGGTTCTTAAATAGACAATTACAGTCAAACCTGTCTAAATGAATATAGTCGGTGGACTAATTTTGTATTCATTTAGACAGGATATTCATTACAAAAAATTAAATTATTTAAAAATATTAATAAAATTGGTATATTTTATAATTTAACCAATCAAATTATAAAATTTTGTGTAATAATTATGCAGATAAAGTTTAAAATATTCAGATAGCATAAATTTTTACTAAT